ATCATGTGATGCCAGGGATAAAATCCAGAGCTCCCACATGGAGTACATAGTGCTAGCCCTGTGAGCCATCTCCCCAACCTTCCTGCACTGCTCCCCTTCCCACCAGCACATTTTTTAACAAAGCCCTCGAATTATTGGTAACCTCAGATTTATTTTATAAATCGCAGTTTCTTCTGTAGGTATTATTTCACTTTAAATATTTACAACTCCATGTTTGGTCTATAGTCTACTTTCAGCATGCTTCTCAATGCCTCTTTTGCAAACCACAACACCCAAAAGGAGAGAGAGAACAAAAGGGAATGCCCTGCCACAGAGGCAGGGTGGGATGGGGGGTGGGAAAGATACTGGGATCGGTGGTCTTGGAAAATGGGCACTGGTGGAGGGATGGGTAATCGATCATTGTATAACTGAAACCCAAGCACAAAAATTTGTAAGTCTACAACTGTGCCTCATGGTGTCTCACTAACAAAAATTTAAAAATTTAAAAAAAATTAAAAAAATTTACAACTCCATGATTTAGGTACAGTGCCACTGAATAGAAATAGAAATGAACTCTCATTGGCGTGTGCAGTATGGTAGCCAGCTATATACGTGGCTGTTGAAGCCTTAGAATACGGCTGAGGAACGGAATTCTCACCTTTGTGCAGTCTTGATTGTGCGGCTTTGAATATAAATGGCAGTGGCCACTTGGCAGGTGGCTACCAGATTGGGCAGGTATAGAGAATGGTTGACGCTTGTTAGCTATTCAAGAGACTAATTCTGTGGGATTGGGCGAGGGAATCTTGTCAGGAAAAATTATCTGCAAGCCTACTGTTGTGCACTGTTGAACAGCTTGCTTTTCACACAGATCAAACGCGAATAAAACTTGAGCTGTTCTTTGCAGAGGTGCCTCTTGTGTGTTCTGCAGACGGTGGGCTGGACGGTCATCTTTCAGCAGATTAGTTAAAAGAATATCTAGGGCTCGGCTCAATTGTTCGAAGATCTGCACACCCTTTGTCCAAGAACAGGGAAAATTTGTGTTATGGCAATAGCTGACAAAATGTTTAACGAAAGCTGCAATTGGCAGTAACTAAATTCCTGAGGTTTCTTTCCTCTCTCTTTGCCACTGAAAGGTGCAGAAATGCTTTTGACAGCATCTGTCCTGCTGACAGATGAGTTGTTTTGACAGGAGAATATGAAACCTTCAACTGAAGAGACATTCAGATGTTGGCCCTGGTAAGGGGTGATCATGTTTGTAGAAATAAGTGAGATGCTTTAGATTTGTGTGCGATGTCAGCTGCCACCTGAAAGAAAGGCCTTATGAAAGGTTTTTTTTCTGATTAACCCTTGGTTGTTCTTGGGATCTGAGAATAAAATTTACCCTCCTGGGTTGAGTAATGCTGTTTCTGGAATTGCTGAGAAATGAGTGTTGTCAGTAAGCATAGCAGCCAAAAGATTAAAAAAAAATTAGAAATTATGCTGGAAAAGAAATATACAAGTATTATTCTCAGTAGCCCAAGGACAAACAGTCCTGAAAACGAAACAAAACATGTGATCCTCAGTGGAATATTACTCAGCCTTAAAAAGGAGATTTTGACTTGTGCTGTAAATGAATGATCCTTGAGGATATTATGCTAAATGAAATAAGCAGACCAATTCTGTAAGGCTACACTCCTGGGAAGGCTCTGAGAGTTGTTAAATTGATGAACAGAATAGTAGAATGGAGGTTGTCAGCCCTGAGGGCCTGGGCAGGGTAGGAGAGGATGGGGAGTTGTTTACAGGGTACAGGATTTACTTGGGGGAAGGATTCTAAGATGAGTGCTGACAATGGGGGCATAACAGTGTGAAGATACTTGGTGTCAGTGCCCTGTAAATTAGAAACTAGTTAGGTCTGTAAATTTTGTGAGGAATTTGTCTTCCTGAAATGAGCAGACAAGAAAATTTACGCAAGATTACATTTGCTAGGGAGAGGACTAAGACTAACTGAGTGGTTAACGCTTGCCTTCCAAATGCGAGGCCCAGAGTTTGATCCCCCAGCACCCCCCCCCCCCCAATAATAAGTAAAATGAAAAAAAGAATGTCAGGAAAAGCAAAGTAAGTGCTTTCCCCATTTCCCGCTGGAGCAGTTGATGTTAAGAGCAGCACTGTGTCCATAGTAGCACTGTGTCCATTACAGGGATCCTGAGCTTTGTGTCCTGTTCCTGTCTCTGGCCAGTGGGCCAAGAACAGAATTACCAGCTAGTCTCTGGGTACGGGTTTGCTGATACAGGGCGTTTCTAGTTCATTGATAGGTCACGCTATCCAGGCTGACCCAGTAAGAGCCCAAATCTCTACTTAGGGGTATCTTCCTCTTTATTGATGCTTGCTAGAATTTCAGTACCTAGTCCTGACACTACTTAGATTCTCGATACTATATTTGCTTTTTTAAATCAAAAAAACAATGTTTTTTACAGGCTAGAGGCAGGATACCAGGACCATGCTTGGTGGTGGGTGGGGAGTGGAGGTGGAGGCAGTGGTGGTAGCAGAGTGGCAGGGTGCTTTATCATTTGATCTATGTTTTCAGCTCCTATTTTTATTTTGTCTGTTTTTATTTCTTGGTTGGGGGGGGGGGGGTTGGAGCCACACCTGGCCATGCTCAAGGCTTACTCCTGGCTCTGCATTCAGGGGTCACTCCTGGTGGTCTCAGGGCACTATGGGTCCTGGGGATCAATCGCAGGTCAGCCATGTGCAAGACAAATGCCCTCCTCCCTGTTTCTGGACCCCAAGTCTTGTTTGTTTTAAAAGGGGAGATGGACCAAGAGGCACAGACATTGAAATGCATTTTTCTAATACCTAATTGCCAAAAAATATGGACAGATATTGGGTGCAAGATGAGGGAAGTGATTTTCTTTCAGATGGTTTAGATTGGGGCTTCCAGTTTTTTGAAACTAGGATCCGGTGAGCTTCGTTCCCTTCCCTCCCGCTTCCCAAGTGTTGGAACTAGAAACCAGACTTTCACTTTGAACCACCTGAGAGGCTAAAAAACTGATGGTCCTCAAGTGGCCTGCAGAGTTGGTTTTTTTTTAAGAATTGCAAAAATATGAAAAATTGCATTTGAACTCTGAAAACCTTGGGAAGACCAGTCTGCATTCTAGTTTGTGGCAGGGCTGATGGGCTTCCTGTGTCAGCTTCATACATACCTGGTGGGTGATGCATGCTTGTTGCATTGCTGTCTGGACTCTCGTCTGGGTGGCTTCTGAGACCGTCTCTGAATTCACCTCCACTCTAGCTCAGCAGCTCCTGCTGCCAGTGATGATGGTAAAGCCAATGTCCACAGGGCCACCTACAGTGCATCTCACCATAGAAAGAAATTCCCTTCCCTCCATATGTTTTTATGTGAAGGGTTTTTTCCCTGTGCATGGATTATCTTGTCCTAGTCTAACCTGTTGACTTAAGTGTACTCAATCAGAGAACCCCCAAGGCACCAATAAGTTAACACTTGACTTCAGTATGTGGTTTTTAAAAAATTACCACTTCCAATTTTTATGGTAACATAATCTCTGGACAAATTGCTTTTAATTCAGTCTATGCCCCGAACACAGATGTACCATTAATTTTAACTGTAGCCTGACTTTTATTTAGATGAATGTCTTGAGTTGACAGAAAAATGGCTATCAGCTCTGGGTTAGTATTGATTAGACCATCTCTGGAGGAAGTTTAAAAGATAGTTGCCACTTACATGACAGTGTTCTTCTTAAGAGATAGACTTGAAGCTCACGATATATGGTCCTGTTAATTGGCACTAATGTGGGTGAAATGAATAGCTGGGATGACAGATGTTAGTGTCCCGAGCCTATGCGCCACTGGATAAACCTTGGTAGCAGGAAGTGAGATACAGTGAACCATGGGAAATCAGGGCCCATGGTAGCACATCTGTGGGTTATGTTACTGAAAGTTGAAGCCGGTTTGGGTGGAGGGTATGAGCCAAGAAGCTCATCTGACTAAACACTGCCTAGCAGACTCTGCCTTGGAGAAGAAAGCTGTGGGGAAAGGAGGGGAGAGATGTTTTGAGAAACTGGGACAGATGCTGTTGTTTTGAAAAAGGCTGCTCTTTCACAGCAACACAAAATTCCCATGGCCTTGGTTCTACTCTTCTGTGACCATCATGGCCAGCGTTTGTCCTTTGATGTTAGGAATGCCATGTTCATCCATGGCTCTGACATTACGGTCTCTTAGAGTTCTCTTTTTGAGCATTCCCTTCAACCTCGTCTCCACCTCTGAGCAGCTTTTAGTGTTAAACTTCTGTGCAGACCAGGGCTCTCAGTTTCTGAATGTATCTCTTGATGCTTAGGACTGGGTTAGAGTTTGTTGGTAAGAACTGGCCCGTGGGTGGTTAGATGAAATGCCTGCTGCACCCTTGACGTCCACCCACAGTATCCAGTAGAATCCCACCCTTTCTCCTGCTGTGTGACATCCATTGCCAAATGTCCTGGTTGAGAAGCACTGATCTCTAGAAATCGAAGAGTTCCCTATCCTTCCCCACCTTCTTCCCACTCCCCTCTCCCTGCTTTGTGTTGTTGGTGTTTTAGTAAAAAGAAAATGTGAGTCCTGAAAACTGGTTAACCATGGTCTTGGACTGATAAGATGCAAAGCTTTGGCTCAGTACGCTGTAGCAGAGGCAGAGGACTCACTCACTAGAAATTCTCTGAAATGTGTTATGGGGTGAAATGCTATTGATGAAATCCACTTGGGTTTAGCACATTACGGATGACTGGGGATGTTTATAGTGACAGTGGTATATAGAAGTAGCTAGAGAGGTGTTACATTGCTGAACTTTTCAATATTAACATGATTAGAGTTAAAGAATGCAGGAGATGGGACAAATATGAGGAAGAGGTGGGTTTTTTGGTTTGCTACTTTAATAATGATAATAACAATTATTTTGTATGGGAAGAGTAGAAGATTCCTGAATTTTGTATCCTGAATTTTGTTTCAGTATCCTTCTGAACATTGATTCAATTATTTTTTCTTTCTTTTATCAGAAACCTGAGCTACAACAAACTGTCTGAGATTGACCCTGCTGGTTTTGAGGACTTGCTGGATCTCCAAGAAGTGTGAGTGCTTCCCCCAAACCTTTTGGTGGTGCTGTGGGGGGGGGGGGGGGAGTGGTAGTAGGGATTGGGATCTCTCTGATATTGCAATGTCACTCATTGCCCTAGGTGAGCAATTGAAACTTGTTGGAAGGAATATCTGTATTATACAGTTGGTGTTGTATTACTTACTCCGCACTCATCATTGCGGCCCTCTCTTAGGCAGTCAGGGATGACTGTGGGACGGTGCAGTGGGGACAGAGGTATTGAAATCACAGTGTATGGTGGGGTAGGTAGGTGGCTCAGTGCTAAAACACTTGCTTTGTACATATGAGGCCTAGGTTTGACTCCCGGAGTTACAAGAAAACAAAACACAAAAACACCACAGCACACAGAGGATGCCTGGAGAAGCTGTGTGGGCCAATGGGGTGAGAGACCTGCCTCGCCCTTTCCCGGTTCCCGGCTTGGTGGGCATGTGGGCTGGCAGCAGGGGCAGAGGCTTAGCTTTCCCCTTCAGTCTCCAGTCAGAACTGGACTTTGCTGCCTGTGGAATTCCACACTTGCTCAGTCTTGTAGTTTCCTTTAAATCAGGCTTTGTATCTTCTTTAAATACAGTGAATTATGCTTTGGAGTCTTAGCTGCATAGGGGTTTTACAGAAACGTCTGCAAATCATACGTATCCTCTGCAGAAAATTTGGAAATTAGAAATATATAAAGACTAATTGGAGTTTCTAGGATTATACTCAGGTATGACTACTGTGAAAACACTTTGTGGAAAATATGTATCTGGACACATAGAATTCCGGGATCAGTATAGTTTGTCCTACTTATCTTTATATTCTGAATAGTTTATAATATGCCATACTTATCTTTATATTTCTGAATACTTTATCATGTGAATTAAACGTTTTGGTGATACCATTTTAGTTTTATATAAAACTGCTGGACATGTATATTTCATTAATATTTACCCTATTGCTGCAGTTATTAGATTTTTTTTTGAAACTGGAAGGGAAGTTCTTTACATATTTTTGACTTATTATACAAAACTGATCAAAGTCCTTGTTTTTTATTCTTTGATTCCATTGTTTGTCCATTGTCTAAAGAAAATTAATTGCATCGGCTGGTGCATCTGTGAAATACTCATTTTCCCTCTCCCCATCTCTGAATTCTCCAAGTTAGTGTTTGCAACTTTCATGTCTATTTATAAAAGGTTTATCGCTCTGCCAAAGTTAAAAGCTCCTAAGAACTGGCAGAAGCCGTTGAATCTTTCTCCGGGACCCTCATTTTACCATGGGGTCTGCAGGGTCGTGGTGGAGCAAATTGGAAGTGGGTCACCGTTAATTTGCCAGGGCCGCCATAATGAGGTACCTGTCAGCAGCATGACTTGAGAAAATCGTTTCTCACACTCTGGAGACTTGACACATGACATCGGGTTGCTGGTAGAGTTGGTTTTCTGGGAGACCTCATGGCCATCTGAAAGCCACTTCTTACTGCCTCACCACATGGCCCCTCTCAAGTCCCGCATGTCCAAGTGTCCTCTTCTTGAAAGAGCACCAGGCATTGGGTCAGGACTTGTCTGTTGACCTTGTTTCATGTTAATTGCCTCTTTAAAAACCTTGTCTCCAAATGCTGTTCCATTCTGAGGTACTGGAGAGTAGGACCTCACTTTATGAATTTGAGGGATTGCGACCCCCCAGGACGATACATTCCATTCATCAAGGAGCCAGTTGAATTTATAACTCAGTGCTTCCCCGATCTAGGCTCTTTCTAAGGCTCATGAGCATCTCATTTCAAAGAGTGAAGTCGCAAGACTTAGTGGATCCTTTTAGAATTGGATAAGATTGGAATTGGCAGATTTCTGGTGGTCTCAAAGAAACTTTTCGTGAGGAGGACCTCCCAGGCGCACAAGTGGGTAGATGTGGAGGCCCGAGTGGTTCCTGGTATGTTAGATAATCGACCTTCCTGTGAGTTGAGTCTGTGACCAGTGGCTCTGTGGTCCATTTTTAGTGTTCTCCTAATACTCTTGTCCTTTCCAAACAGGCTTGCAGTTTTCATTTGTTTTGTCTCTGTAGGCTTCCAGTTCTTCTACTTTGCCAAACTTATATGCCACCCTGACATAGAGTTGAGAGTCTTTGATTTCGACCTGTCTTTCATTGAGATTGCTGGTGATGAGCCTTAAAAATAAATTTCTTTATTAAGAACAGCCATAGCAATCCTAGCAGCAGTGTGGCTTTGGTGAGTGCTATCTCACTTAATCCTTATAGTAAATCTATTTGCTTTGAATTGCTTTCTTTACACTAATGTTCTCCCCCTAATGGAAGTTGGAGAAATGAAATAAACACTTTTGCCGGACAGTTGAAGGGACTAAAGTAGGGAGACTTGGCTGCAGGTGCCCAGCTAGTGTATAGTAGAATTCAGTCTGCACCCATAGTCTGAATGCCACTTTCGTGGTCTTCGCAGCAGCATAGCTTCCGGGTGATGGCATTTTCAAGACAGAGACGGCATCTTATGGGTGCAGTGTGTTGTGGTGGGAAAATGTGAACAGACCTAGATTTGGGTCTTAGTCTGCATCTTAGTCTGTGGACACATGACCTAGCTCTCCCACGCTTCCTCTCCCTTCTCTGTATTGTGGACAGACTATCTGCACATTCTGGTCATTGTTCTACTTGCTAATTGGAGATCACATCCAGAGCCTGCGGTGGTTGTTATTTCCCATCTCTTTGCTACTTTGGAAACCAGGTAGACTCTCTAAGCTGAGTGCATTGTTAAGAAACGTGTCTGTGAAGGCTGACCTTTTACCTCTGGGACTGCCCTTAGTCCCTGATGAAACCCCATGAGACAGATGAGACCAATTCCCCGATGCCCATAAAGATCCGAACCTTTTCCTGAGAGGCTTCTAATAAATGCATTCTGGAGGGGGGCAAGGCATCAGGAGTGGGGCAAGAGCTTTTGAAGAAGAGGGAAGAACATCACTGTGGCCATGCAGTCGCTTCTGAACGAACTGGGCTTGAGTGTTCCCCAGGAGCTGTCAGTTCTCCTCCACACTGCAGACACGAGTCTAGAAACCCCACGGAGAGGGGAACCGCAGGCTGGCAGGGCGGCGGTTGGTGGTTGAGTGGTGGTTTTGTTCTGGAGGCCCAGAACCACAGAACATCGTGGGCCGCCTGGAAGGAGAAAGTGAGCTGTGGGAGGCCCCTGGAGGACAGGAGGGCGCTCGTGCAGCTGCTGCCAAGCCACATGGCCCTCGCTGCCCACGAGGCTGAGGAAAGCCCACCAGGGAGGGCCTCCAGCCAGGGGTGCTGGGCGACAAGCCTCCGCTATTAATACGAGGCGCTATTTATACCGTCCTCTCTGCAAACCACCTTCAGATCACGTTACTGCCGCCTGGCCCGAGAATGCCCAGTGTGGGTGCTGCTGTGCTTTCCAGGGTCATTGACCTAAAATGTTCCCCAGGCCGCAAGGGAGCATGAGTGTGCCCTGCCCATGCGTATTTATGGTGTGCCCTTTCCAGGCCTCTGCTTCCACCCACCCCCAGCCCTGCTGTGTAGAAGGGAGGGATCAGACAGCCTGTGAGTTACCACCACCTGTTAATCATTTACTTTGTGTCTAGCTGTAGCCTAGGCTGTTAAGTGTACTGATTTCAACCAGATCTTGCCCACACCCCCGAAGGTGGTACTTGTATTATTTACAGAGTTTGGAAGAGGGGACTGAGGCACAGAAGGTGTGAGGTGCCGAGTGGGGGCGCAAGACTGGATTTGATTGAACTCAAAAGCTACAGGATTTAAAAGCCAGCGCTGTGTAAATAGCCTCTGAATAACCCTTGCTCAGCTGTCCTGAACTTGTGCCTCAGTTTCTTCCTTTAGGGTGGGGCGATCATTTGGGACCTCCCTCCCAGGGTTGGCTGTGAGGTGCTGCAAGGGAAGCACTCGGCAGGTGCCAGCCCTGCGGCCACCCTTTCCTCTCAGTCCTTGTTGCTTACACATTGCTGCCTGAGTAACCCTGCTCCATCCTTACATACCTGCGTCTGCCAGTCTGGTGTAAAAAACCACATGTTGTAGAACCTCGCCCAGGACATTCTTCAAAAGTAGCCGGATGCTCTGATGTCAGTTACTGTCTTGGTGGCCCCGAAGTCAGTGCTTCTGGGTCCTATCGACAGCTTTTTCTTCTTTACTGCAAACTAAACAATGAAAGTTCCACCCCACTGCTCAACTCGGACTGTTATTAATTGTAGCTCTCTGTATTTGGAAACAACTAAAGTGTTTGCGATTAGCAGACTCCCTAAACAAATTACAGTTCATTCATACCATTCGTGGCAGTAGTGGAGATGCTGCGACTGGTTAAAAAGAATTACGGAGCTCTCTGAGAAATACTGCTGAGGGGTCCCTGACCGCCTCTACCACACAGTGTTCACGGAAACGCGAGTGCATCTCTGTTCCCTGGCAGCAGGGCTTCCTCTAGGGGGCAGAGCAGCAGAACACTGACAGGCAGGGAATGTTTTTCACCATGTAGTCCTGTTATTCTTTGTTTTGGGACCCGGGGTCATACCTCATAGTGCTCAGGTCACTTCTGGCTCTGTGCTGAAGGATGACCCTCGATGGTACTTAGGTGGTACACCTGTGGTGCCAGGGATTTGAACCGCGGTTGCCCCATGCAGGACCTTCTTATCTCCTGTACACTAGCTGGTATATTTTTGGGAAATGATTCACGTTTTTTCGCGTACTTCTACCAGCTAATAAATAAATGGCCAAGAAGGCCCCCAAAGCACTCTAATCCCAAATTACTCCACAGGTTTATTTTTCATTGTTGAAATCTAATTTGGCTGCGATAATAAATAATGGTTATTAGTATTATGTTCTTGTTTTTTCTTTAATTGCATTTTGCATCTTGCTGGTGGGAAGAGCATCCTTAACTTAGCCAGATGGGTGAACGTATGAGAGAGGGCTGAGCATGCTGGTGAGGCCCAGGACTGGGTGGGAAAGCTTCACCTCCCCGCAGTGTTCGGAGCCTCATTTTCCTTCCAGGAAGCTCTTCTAGCTCCAGGGCTGGACCGCTGTTCACAGCCTGATGCAGCAGAGGCACTTCATGGCCCTGAGTCATCAGGAAAAGGCCCAACTAACAGAAGCCAGGCATTTCAGGAGGAGTTTTGAGGGTCCTGAGTGGAAGTTGCTTTGGGCGGGAATGAGAACCAGGGCAGACCTAACAGCCCTGGGTGCTCAAAGTTTTCATCAGACGGGCTCCTGAATTCCTCAGGCTTCCTGACTAGCAGGAATTGTGCTCAGCTTCCCGAAGCTCCTTTCCCCGCAGGCTCGGCTGCGCTATTTTTGACCGGGCTATTTCAGTCTGGCAAGGGGGTCCTGTCTCAGAGCACGCCGAGCCGCTGTGCCTTCTGAGGATAACATTCCCTTTTCTGTCAGGGACAGCGGACAGAACGTCAGCAGGGGCAGAGCTAACAGACTTAGCTTGCACTCATGGTTCTTTTTAAGTAGAAATGATGTCGAAGTAGTAAGCTGGCCGTGTGGTTCTGCTTGGGGCACCACCTGCCCGCTTTGTAAATCATGCAGCCCTGCCGATTTTTTTTAGAGCCTGTGATTTCTGCCGAGACTTGACACAGAGCTGCTGGCCCAGACGCGAAATACCCGGTGATGCACTGCTCCACTGCATCTTGTTCTCTGCGCCCAGCACTTCGGACAAAATTTGAAATCCCATTAGAATGCCCCCGTTCCACATTCATTAGTCTTGTGGAACTGGGTGGAGCAGTTTCTGGGGTGTGCCATAGGACTGGCCCGAGAGCCCCTGTTCCAATGTCTCCCCCTTCACAGGAGTCTGTGCTCTCTGTATGGACTGTGAGATCAGTCCAGGCCCAAGTGCATCCAAACACAACCACCAGGTCACCCCAGAGGCGGGGGACTTTCCATCCCACTGCCTTTTCTCTAGCCGCATATGCCTTATTGTACTCTGGCTTGGGTCCCACTCTGTCCTTGTCACTCTGTCATCCTGAGCGAGTGACTTTGACCAAAGTTTAACTGAGAAAACTGAAACCTCTAAAGTAGGAAACAGCGGTGGTGGCCAGTGTCACGCTCAGTGACAGCGAAGTCATGTAGTACAGGCGGAGCTGCTGCAGTGGGTATAAAGAAGAAGAGGCCACTTGCCAGGAAGCTGGACTCCGCTGCCACTAACGGTTGGCTTCATCTCCATGTTCCCATCTGATTAGTATGGTGGAGAGTTCACAGGACAGCCCCCCCGGGGGGGGGGGGGCTTTAGAGATGATTTCTGTGGGTAGGGAGAGAGGACTGGGTTAGAGGCATGTCTGCCTGCGTGGGGTCGGCAGCGGTTTGATTCCCAGTGCCATGCCCCTGACTGAGCATCTCCAGGTGCGGTCGTGGCATTTTCAGCGGAGCCTGGATAAACCCCTGCATCATAGAGCCTGAGCGGCAGCACCATATCTCAGCTCCTGGGACCCCTGCATCTCACAAACACCTTTTGGGAGCCCGTGCCCCGCCCCCGCCCTCCCAAAGATGACTTCATGTTTAAAAAGCTTTTAACGCTGTGTTACATTAACTGCTGCAGTTGTTTTTATGACCGCCATTGTCTGCGTTTTCAGCAATGAAAAGTTCATAGGTAAAAACTGTCTTATTGGCAGTAGGTCCCTGACCTCTGCTCCATAAAATCTGAGGGTCTCTCTTAGTGAGAAGGACCCTGGTGGCACTATGAAAATATGTCAGTGGGGATTAAGACTGGTGGCGTATTTTCACTATTCCCAAGCTTCAGTGGGAAGTCGCTCACAGCAGGATTGGAGGAGATAAAAGGTGAAGCAGAAACAATCTGATTTAAGGGGCAGTCAGATAAGAGACTGTTAAAGTAATTAATTGTCTACTTCAGCACACAAACAAGGGCCCTTTAAGTGGGGAAAGGATTTGCCACATGATAGGGATCTGCTTTCTCTCTGCCAGAGGGTTCCGTCATGGAGCTATTGAAACAAACGCTCTATGTCCCACCGCCTAGTAATTGCCAAGCTGCTTCTCTAACTGGCTTTGGCACTGAAGAAAGCTGGTTGGATAATATGAGGCCTTTCCCTTCCCTTTTTCTATTCATTTCTATAAAAGATGGCAGATAACTAGATCATTCTGTTCAAGGAAACGCTCGTTGTACACTTGTCTGAGTGCAGCTGTCATTTCAGTGGCCTTGTCTTCAGATGGTAATAAGATACTTTGTGCAAGACATGCCCTCCCTTTAAAAACAGAAAATAAGATAACCCACTTTACCTCCTCGATTCTGCATCTCAGATACAATTTGTTCCCAGCCTGTCACTCGGCAGAAAACCAGGTCACTGTGCACTGCCTTTCTTAAGGATTTTTGGGCTCACTTCAAAGGCATGTCTGATTTTTGGATTCCCTTTCCAGATTTGGAAATACATGTCCATGTAAGGAGGCTGAATTGCAGAGCTTTTGGGGGCGGGGAGGGAGGGGGTGCAGACACAGCTTGAAAACTGTGTTTTGGTTCTTGGGCTTTCCCTTCCAAGAAGAGTTCTGAATGATGGAAATAGAGAACTTGACTGTGTGCTGGGGAAGGTAGCTTGAAATGCCTCTCTTGTCGAAAGGTTTTCAGAATGTCTCCTTGCAAAAGTATGTGTTGATAGTAGAAATGACTGGAAAACAGGTCCAGAACCTCTGTTGAAGAAGCCTCCACCTCAGAAAAGAGTTTACGTTCAGCTCCTTTGTTATTTCACAGATGTGATACTGTTGGAATAGTTGGCCCCACACATCTTAACACCCAGGTGTGTTTTTGGTGTTAGGCTCAAGTCCACTGTGGGCAGGGCTGTTATTGGCAGCCCATTTTGTCACAAGACACAGAAGGGGTGTGTGATTATATGTGTCCCTAAATCCTCTTCTGACTGTTCTAGCCCATAAGGAGAGTGCTTGTTGGTTACCTTGGGGATGGGGGTGCTTTTGTTCTGCACCAATCTTGGCCTGTCGTCACTGTTTCTCTTGATTTCTGATTTAGTTGGGAAGCTTCTGCGAGACAGAAGCCGTTTCCTGAGTGTTGATTTCTAAGGCCAGGGTATGACATGGTGTTAGCTTTTGAAATCTCACGACTTCCTGAAGGACTTAAAATTCTTTATCTTTTATTTCAGCACTGCAGTATAATTCTACCGTGATCAGTGTAACACCAATTTTTTTTAAAGCCCCCGCCCCCTTTATATGTATGTGTTCCCTAACTACTAATTTAAGTGATTGGTTTCTTCTTGTCGTTTCAGGATCCTCAGTAACAATGAGCTGACAGCTGTGCCGTCCCTGGGTGCCGCATCCTCTCGAGTCGTCTCGCTCTTCTTGTAAGTGGTGCCGTGGGTGAGGAGGTGGGGGACCCGGGCGGAGTGCGAGACTTTCATGCTCTCTTGCCGACTTTCAGTGGCAGGAGCCCTTACATTCATATGCTTGCTGGTGCGGACATTACTTCCATGATTCTGATAAATATCTAGCATACTTTCGGGAACTTCACAGAGTGAAACACCGAATGCCGTGGGTTCCTCAGTTACTTGAAGAGAAAAGTTATGCTCCAAGCGGTATATCAGACTTGATCGCTTGCTTGTGGAGAGGCTGTAAGTTAGGGAAACACACAGATAAATGAGGCTGCATGAATCACAATATGGCAGGCTCATTCTTGTGAATTTAATAACTTGGGTCTTTAAAAAATTTTCGGTTTGGAGGCTACAATGGGCATTTCTCAGGGTTCTGCCCCCAGCTTGATGACTCAGGGGGTGCTCCCAGTAGTGCTCAAGGGATGGGGGGGGGGTGGCAGGATTGGACCTGGGGCTCCTGCATACAAAGTATCTCCTCAACCCAGTGAGCAGTCTCCCTGGCTCTTGGTTCATTAAAAAAAAAAAAAGATTTTTTTTTATGTTACTTATTTAATTCTGTTTTGTTTTGTTTTGGGCCACACCTGGGAGTGCTCAGGGTTTACTCCTGGCTCTGTGCTCAGGAATCACTCCTGGTGGGGCTCAGAGAACCATGTGGCTGCTGGGAATTGAACCCAGGTAGCTTTGTCCAAGGCAAGTGCCCTGCCTGCTATACTATCTGTCTAGCCCCCTTTACGTAGTTCATTTTTAAAGCAGGATTTTCCAGGTCTATGAAAGTAAGCAATTAGTTCTCATTCTCAAATATTCAGCAGTAGGCAACCTATTGATTGTTAGGGACAACACACTGGGGATGAGAAGGGCATGAAAGGATGTACAGGAGGAGAAAGGGAAGAAGTCCTGGGGGATGTTATAGTTTGAGCACCTTGGGTTTTACCCCGTGCCCCTGCGCTCCGCCCCCCCCCCCAAGGTGGGTGTTTGCTTGTTTTCAGCTTGCCCTGAGGTCTTTCCAGATAAACCAGTAGTGAGTAGTGAGTCCAACAGTTTTCTCACCCAGATTTTATTGGTAGCTTGCTCAACAGAGCACCTTCAGGGCTCACTCCTGGCTCTTACTCCGTACTCAGGGATCACTCTTGGCAGGGTGCAGGGGGACCATATGTGGTGCTGGGAATAGAACCTGGGTCAGCCACTTGCAGGGCAGGTGCCCTACCCACTGTCTTGTCTCTCTGTCCCAGGTCTGCATATTTTGGTTGGATTTTGATCATGCTGGCATTCCATCTCATTTTCTCCCCTGAGGTAGCGTTTCTGCAACTCTGAGGCTCAGCAGGCTACACAGAGGTCTAGGTGGGAAGGCACTAGCTGGGGCAGGTGGCTGAGGGACCCCTCCCTCTGTCTCTGGCCCCTGCTCTCAGGCTCACCCCTTCCCTGGACACCCAGCGCATGGGAGAACTGGGTGTGAGAATTGTGGCCCAGCCTCCATAGCCAGGCCTCACTTGCGAAAGGTGTTTCAGACACATTTCATCCTTAGGTAGAGAGAGTGGCTGAGCTTGGAGAGGAGGGGAACGGACTTGCTGCTCCTGGCATCAGGCATGAGTGTTTGGAAGGTGAAGGTTGCACCTTCTGGCTGGTGCCAGTGGTCAGAGGACCCCCTGAGGCATCAGCATGATTTCCCCCTTAGCTCCACAGCATTTGTGGATCGGCCCTTGTTCCCGTGAAGTGCCAGAAGGAGCCTGTGGCCCTTTGTCCCGAGAGGTGCAGGTTCACAGCCGCCTCAGGTGATGTCCGACTGCTGGGCAGTATGGTAGATGTGTTCTCCTTTCCCACGCTTTAGTAGGGAGATGATTTCTGCGCGGCTGTTCATAAAGTGAAGCATGGGCAGGGGGAGGTACTCCTTTTCCCCCTCCTTTGGTTTCGGGGCCGCACCTGGCTCTGTTCATGGGGGGGCTCAGTGCTTGAGATCGAGGCAAGGGCCAGTCGTGTGTGGGGCAGGTGCCTTGTCCCCCGGACAGTCTCTCCTGTCCCCTTTTAAAATTTGAAAGTTTCTTTTATCTGAAATCTCCCCCTGCCCTAGTCATTCATTGTATGGGGCGGGGACTGCACGCACACCGGCTCTATGCTGGTCAGGCGGTGGCTCACTCACTCGGCCAGTGTCTGCTGAGGCTGTGGTGCTCCCCAGGGTTGCTGCAGTGCTCACACAGTGCTCGGCAGAGGTCGCCCTCTGTTTCGGCTGTGGTGCTTGCCCCTTCTTCTGGCGCGAGCCACACCTGACTGCCGTGAGTTATCACAGGTCAAGCAGCAGAGCTGGGAGGACCGTTCTAGGCACATTTAATGGGACATTGAAATTTGGGCTCATAACCATACGTTTGCTTGGCAGCCACTGCATTACTTCTTCAGGCCTCTGGAGTGTTTCTAAAACCTGCTGCTTCTAGTTTACTTAAGGTCTGTGCCGCCTCCCAAGCATCCTGGGTCAGGAGATGTTTATTCCCCCGGCTGTGTGTCCATTTGTTCACGTTTGAGAAGCACCAGCTTCACTCCCCTTGCTGCTCGTTTGGTCGGGAGGCAAGGACCGCAGAGAACATGTTTGTCCGGCCAGTTGCAGAGCAGAGAGGTGGGGCTGACATGAACACCAGGCCCACACATCTCTCCTTTATCCTGGGTGCCCTGGACACAGGTGGGCAGCAGGCTGTGCCAGAGACTGGGCAGAGCCCACAGCTTCACGAGAGGGCCGCCTGTTGCACTCTGCGTCACGCTCCCCACTCTTCTGACTAAAAATACTTTTCTGCTCCTTGGCCCAAGTGCTCGGAGCGGTGGGGCTGGCTGGCCTTGTTCCTGCGATTCCATTAGACAGCCTTCAAATATGTAAAGCAGGAGGAGAAAATGACTCCCTCCTGGTTTTGATTCAGCTTGGAAAATCCAGGTTCGCGTTGGCAGCCGCCTCCTTGGCCCGAAGCTGGTCTCCCTCTGACTTGGTGGATGGTTCCTCCGAGGCTGCGGGACGGAGGAGTGTTTATCTGCCTTCGCTCCGAGGGGCCTGTGCTCCCCAGCGTGGACTTGTTGCCTGAGTTCCATGCCTGCAGTGGGGTTGGCAGTGTGACATCTGGGCAGCGGCAGTGGGGGATCTCGTTGCCGTCCTTCTTCCTGCTTGTCTGTATCGCGCCAGCGGAGCCGGCGAAGGGCAGGGGCGGAAATAAGAAGGCGGGCGGCAGAGCGCGGCCCTCGCCTTGTCTGACCTGGAACAGCAGACCGTCCACTGAGCATCTCCTCCACGGGCCCCTTTCGGCCCTCCGGGAGCGCGAGTGTTGGTTTTGCTGCTGCGGCTGTGACCTATCAGGAGCGCAGACCTGAAGGGCGTCACTGTGTTGAGCGGAGGAGTCGTAGGTAACTTCTGTGCCCTGCTCTGGGGGCCCGAGTCAGGAGGATTCCTCACCGTCACATGTAGAAAGTCCTGACACAGCCTCTGAAAATGGGATAGGCTCGTCGACACGAGGAATATTGCCTTTGGAATTTTCCTGCCTCTCCCGCTTTGTGGGTTAGCGGGGAATGAGAAGAAGGAGTAAATTGTGTAGAAGGACTAGATGCTTAAACTTGGGGGCTCCAGAAGCCCGGGCAGGTCTAGGCGGGAGCGTGAGGAAGGCCGGGGGCTCCCTCTGCTCTGTGCGTTCGACTTCCAGCTCTGGCGAGCATGGTCAGACCTGGGACAAGTTTCCTTCGTCTCGTTCATTGCAGGCAGGTGAACCAGACGGTAGGATCCTCCCCTTCTCTGCCTCCCTCCTCATGTCCCTCCCTCCCTCCCTGAATTTTTATTCCTCTGGAGCCGGAAGTAGAAGAGAGCCAGGAGTCTCACCTAGGGAACACCTTGGTATCTCTTAACTGCTGCTGAAGTAGCAGGTTTGTGGTTTTCGGCACAGACACCTATAATTAAGGACTTTTGTCCCTGGAAACTGGTTCCTTATCACTGTTTAGTTTCCTGTCTCCTGAGACCATACCTGTCTATCTTGCTTCTTGCTCGCTCGGATGCTAGTGCTCTAGGCCCTGGGTACCAGAGCCCTCCTTCCTGGGGGATCATGATTAGTGGGACCTCGTGGGAAGAAGCTTTGGTTTCCCATCTGGCTTCGATATCAAAATAATGTTTTCTAGCATTTGGGGACCTGAAATCGTTTAGTGAGGTTTCAGTTGGTTAATACTTTGTGATTAAATGACTCTAATTCGATTAAAGTATTTGTGAAGAGCAGGTTTGCTTTGTGCTCTGAGGGTAATGCCAAAGCCATTTGTTCTTAATAATAAGAAGGCATAAAACTCAAGGAAAAGCTTTTAAACAGAATTGGGATGGAGTAGGGGGTAGGTGGCAAATTTGGTAGAAATTCTTCTCAGAAAAAAATACAGATGTTTTTGAAGTGGGGACAAAAATATGCTGCTGGATCTTCACTTTTGAGGATTTTTTTTTTTAATTTGAAGTCCTGAAAGCTCAAGTTACCATTCCCACAGCAACTCTAACTTTATCTGGTGTGAGACAGTTCAGCTGAAGGAAAAATGTCTCTTTTCCTGGGGTTTTCCTCAACTTGTATAGTTGGAAGGTTGGTTTCAGTGAAAATGGCCGAATGTTTTCAGTCCTGCATGAGAAAGAACGATTTCCCTTGCTGTAAAATCAGTGTCAGTGTGACAGCCGATAGCTCGAGTTCCTGCCGGCCCGGGGCGTGTTCCCTTGTGGCCCGTAACTGCCCGTGTGACTTCTTCTCCAGGCTCCGCTATGTTCCTGCCGTCGTGCCTCCGCCAAGCCCCACGCCCTGTCCTTCTTGCTCTCCCACCCTTGGCCTAGGCCCAGCAGGAGATCTAGGCAGTGATTCGTCGCGCTCACTTACTTGTGACATTGGAATATCGCGGTTAAAATCCCTTGGCTTCATCTGGTATTTGAAGACACATCGACAGGCCTCCTCTAATCTTGAGCAAAATTATTTTGAAGATGATTTTTATTGAAATAA